ACAGCAAGAACAAACAAGATATTATTAGGCATGGGCGCTATCGATTGTCATGAAACACGTTTGTTTCAAAGAAAAATATAATGCGTGTAGGGGGAGAAAATGCAGAGAGGCAAAGGAAGAAGACATTTTTGCCTTTCACGAGCTTAATCATTTAAGCCAATGCTCCTTTTGGGAGATTCAATGCTCCTTTTTGCCGGTAGGAGTTTTTTAGGCCACCGGCAAACACTGTTAAATTCCAAGAATAATTTTTTAATTGTTTGACATATCATGAAGAAAACATGCGAATAATAAATATATATTTAAAAAAAATTCAAAGTTCTAATCATTTGGGAAAATTTTTTTTGGAAAGATTCGATTATATATACAGCTAGCAAGTGTCCTTTCTAGTGTTGGTCGTGTGATCATGCATTGTATAACTTATTATGGTACCTATCGCTAATTTAAAAAAAAAAAAAGGAACTTATGGTACCTACCATTCTTGTTTCTTTGTGACTTTACAATTGTAATGCATGAAAATGATATAATATATGCTTTGAAAAGTTAATTAGGTGCTTGCATAAAGTAAATAGACATTAGCAATTGCCAGAATTGTGAGGTTCACCGTGCCCACAGGATAAGATAATTATTGACTTCTACCATTAAAATATATATATATATATATATGCTGAATTATATTTTCTAAACTATTAATTGAAATCACTTTTTCAATTCAATAAAAAGTGGGCTATGCAGGAAAGCACTGATCATAGATAATTAAAGGCTTAACCCCTTAATATGGCCCTCAACTAACAAAATGTAAGGGTTTTAGCCCCCAACTAAAAACAGGGAAATTAGCCTTTTAACTATTCGAATTAATGGAATTAGCCCAAACTTTAGTCTTTATTGACGTACCCGTTAGTTTGGCCTGTCAGCACTTACTCAGCAACCAACAATAGCTAGTAGGCACCACTCTAATTTCAAACTAAAAAGTCAAAAAAAAAAAAAAAATCATCTTTATTTTCTCTCCAATCTTTTCATTTTGAACTCATCCAAAATATCATTTCAATTACAATTAATCGAAAATGTTTAACAGAGTTGGCCCAAAGAAAGAACAAAATCAAATGATCCTTTCTGCATCTCTTCCCTTTAGAACAAGCTTAACAGGTTTGGACAAAAAAAGGCCATTGTGACGAGTGTACAATAACAAAATCAAGAATTGAGAAAGGTAGAAAAGAAACCCAGATTTTGGCAACCCAAACTCCGAAATCTGACCAAAAAAATCCAAAATTTTAACCATTTTTACAAAAAAAAAAAAAAACATTCTGTAACCCACATTCCAGCTAAATAAACTGAGATTTTGGCAACTCTCTCATCCATGGGAAGTAGTAGATCAACAATTCATGGCCAATAAAAAAAAAATTAGTGTAGATTTTTTAATAAATCTATTTTGATTTCTTTTTTTACCTTTTAGATATAAATTTTAAATAAAAATTTAACAATTTAAATTAAGAATAATTGAATTTTTTTTATATGAAGTTATTGTCGAATATTTTCATTTGATTAAAATTTTTTTAATTGTTATTTATATAATATGTTAATATTTCATT